GATGATGTCTCGGGCGACAGGGGCCTCCAGGGTCCCAAAAACCGTGCGGTGGCGGACCGTGCGGTGAGGTCTTGGGGGATTTCGAGGTCACCGCACGGTCCGTCACCGTACCGTTTCGGGACTCCAATGATGGCGATGCTGTTCGGCCCGATCCGATCAGATTCCAAGGTTCCGGAGGATGCGAGGCGGCCAGATGTTTCTTGGAGGGCGTCGTTGTGCATCTCGTCGCTGCCGTGCCGATGCAGCCCGATCCGAGGCACGCGTCGAGTCGGCCCGATTGACAGTCCACCCGCACAGTAAGGACGGGCAACCTTCCCCATGGTACGCTTGCATCCTTGCCTTCTCGGCCCATCCTGGGCCACCTTCGTTGGCGCCGCGCCCCGCTCGAAGAGCTTCGAAGTCGGCGTCCAAGCCCTTGCATCCTCACCGCGCATCCTTATGATGCGGGCCGACTGTACCAATTCAATGCTGGCTGATCCTGCCACCCCCGCCACCGCGGGCGCGCGCCAGTGTGCCCCTCCCTCCGCCTCCCGCGCCCGCGGCGGAGAGGGTGTGCGCTTCTCGCCGTGGCGCCGGCGGGGGCGAAGCGACACCCGTGTGCGGCAGACATGAGCGGTGGGAGGACGAGGAGGAGGACGACGTGGAGGACGACGAGGAAGATGATGATGAGGACGGAGGAAGGGACGAGAACGATGATGAGGACGACGAGGAGGACGATAATGAGGACGGCGAGGAGGACGTCGAGGAGGACGACGAGGAGGACGAGGATGAGGACGATGCTGAGGACGAAGAGGACGACGAGGACGGGGGGGCGGGCTTGCGCGCGCCTGGTGGGGAGGGGAGCGCTCGTGGGCCACGCTGAGGGCCAGGGGCCAGGTCGACCAGACTTTGTTTCCACGTGGGAGGTGCGGCTTCATGACGGACGGGTGGGAGGAGGGCAGCAGCGGGAGAAAGGGTGGGGGAGTGATCAGGCGCTTCTCGGGCACAGAACGGGCAGCGGGGAGCAGGGCGAGTGGAGGGAAACGAGGGCGAAGGTGGTGGAGCGTAGGCAAATTGGAGGACGATGAAGAAGTTCTGGACGCTTCGCGTAACCCCCCCCCCAGCCCGTCCAGAAACGATGCCTAGGCGAGTTGTCTTGATCAGGGATGTGGAGGAGCATGCAGTGAAATGACGGGTTGGGGAGGCCGCCATACCCCAAGAGGGGGAGGATGGAGGAGGAATTGGAGGAGGAGAAGGGGGAGGGGGAGGGGGAGGGGGAAACAGAAGGAGGGAGGAGTAACAGGCGGAGGAGGAGGAGGAGGAGGAGGAGGAGGAGGAGAAGGAGAGCGAGCAGAATGGCCAAAGGCCTTTTGGATGCGTCTCGGAGTCTCTCCGGATGTCTCTTGAAAGCGTCTCGGAATCTTTTTGTGGCGTCTTGAGGGCCTCTTGGCGGTCCTGGTGGCCTCTTGGAGCGTCTTTGGTGTTTCGGGTGAGCCTCTTAGGGCCATTTGGGGAGCTCCTGGGAGCCTCTTGGGGACCTCTTCGGGGCCTCTTGGGGCCTCTTGGGCGCCTCTTGGGGCCCTTGTGGGCCGTCATGGGGCAATCTTGGACGAGATCGATCAAAGAAAGGGGGTTCAAAAAGAGTTCCCTCCATGAAGCTAACATTTGCCACCACTTAAGTATGTAAAATCAACGATGTGCGCATTTTCGCAGAGGCCGTCCTGGACGATCCAACGAATCGTGACCCCGCCCCCCCCCCGCATCCAGGTCCACGGGACGGGCAGGGTGAGGGGTAAACCCATCCTCGAAGGGGATGAAGGGGAGCTGGAAGTGGAAACACCCTGAACCACTCACACCTAGAAAGGGTTGGCAGGAGTGCTAGGCGTGGGTAGGGGAGTGGGGGAGTGGGATTAAGGGATACAGTCAGGGCGCTGAAATAAGGACTGGTTCGGGTTCCGAAGGGGCTCGCTTTTCCTCATTCATTTCTGCCGTTCCTCTAGCCCTCCTCCTGCGCACAGGCGCTTCGGGTGCCGAAAAAGGGGCCTCGCTCCTTATGTAGCGGTTCTTATACTTCAGCAGCTTACCTGTAGAAGGGGAGCAGATGACCACGGAGGCGCGGCTTCCGAGCCGGCTTGTGGGGGGGAGCGGGAGCTTTGAGCGTTGCGTAAGGGGGGGGGGTCAAAAATGGGAGGGGGTGGCGAGGGTGGTCCAAAAAGGTACCCAAACGGTTCCTAAACGAGCCGTCTGGGGCCTCCGGAGGGGCCCGAAAGAGGCACGAAAGGGGACCGTTTCTTACCTCCCCATTGATGACCCCCCCCTAGGCCACGCCCAAGAGCCGCGCTCTTGGGAAAGCACACGCGTGTCAGGGGAGCGGACAGGGAGTGGAGGGTCAAGGAGGGTGCCCAGGCTGCCATGCCCCAAGTGGTGGGCTGTGGCGGCTCCCTCGGCCCTCCTCGCTCTCTCCTCCTTGCTCTCTCCTCCTTGCTTCCTTGCTTTCTCCTCCTCCTCCTCCTCCTCCTCC